AGTCTTTAATATATCTATCACATTAATGTTTGAAGGGTCTTAAGCTAATACAAACCATATTAGTCAGTATGAAACACCAAAACGGAACGAACAATAACCGATTACGTTTTGTAGTTTACAAATTCTAAGCTGGTTTACGGTTGTCTTTTTCACTATGTTTGTATCGTTTCAATCAAGCAGATACCAGTTTATTTCAACCAATGCATTGAAAAGAAACGAGAAATTTGTAATGAAAGGTTTATTTTTTATATTTATCAGTATTAATTTGATATTGAATAGAAATAACTTATTAATATGGATGAGTTAAAATTATTAGTTTGAAAAATGATAAGAGCGCCCTCTACAATATAAATAACAAAGATGGCGGAACGTAAACAAACCACCTCGCCCGCGAAATTGAAATTTTTCTCTTATTTCTTGCTTATTGTACTCTATAGTCCGCACCCCGTCTGGAAGGTCCAATTTTGGAGAATAAAACCGCGGACTATACAAGCCTTTCTACGGTAATCTTCTTTTATTTCCCTTTTGTTCAAGGTTTTAAAAATCGATATTAAGGAAATCTCGAATTTACATTATTATGCCTCGGATTGTTTTCCTAAAATAACTAAGTCTAACCTAAATCTAAAACGTGCATCACATTATTTTCCGCAAACATTCTTCTTCAGGTACATGTAATTTTTAACTGTGACATAACTCTAAAACAGTAAAAGTGACGCTACCCAAATGTGTGCTTGATCTGAGTTTTGTGGTAATTAGCATTGTGTTTAAGTTTCATAACATTTGGTTGACATGGTTGAGGTAAACTTAAGTTAGAAAACAGATAAGAAAAAAACAGCAATTTTTCCATTTGTAAAGGGGTATAACTCTAGAACAGTAAAATGTGATGTCATCAAAATTTAAACATGATCTGTGTTTTGTGGTAATAAGCATTGTGCATAAGTTTAATAACATTTGGTTGAGGCAAACTAAAGTTAGAAATTAGAAACAAAAAATTCAGCAATTTTTCCATTTGTAAAGGGGCATAACTCGAGAACGGTAAAAGTGACGCCACAAAAATTCAAACTTGATCTGTGTTTAGTGGTAATAAGCATTGTGCATAAGATTTATAAGAAACCAATTCTGGGACATACGTACAAACGTACAGACAGACATGGGTAAAACTTAATGCTCCCTCTGCTACAGCTGGGCATAAAAATAAAAAATGATCTTATATTCCTTCCAATTGCAATAAATTTCATGTGCTATTCTGCTAAATATTGACTGATTTTTTATATCTTATGTTTGCCATCTTAATTGAAAGAAACCAGTTGTGTCATTAATTTAGCGTGAATTATTTAAATTGGTAGATAGATAAGACATTCAATATCAAAACCAAGTGATAAGAGTAGCTTCATTTAACAGAACCAAGCCACAGCGGCATAACAGATACCCCACAAAGGAGTTATCACGTACTTGACAAACTGAGTCGGATCCTTTTACTTTATGAAGAAATGTACTCATTTTTTCGTTTGGAGTTCTTGTCAATATAACACTTCCATGATACAACTGATTACCAATTATCATTCATTTACCATAAGTGGTCCCCCTTAAAGTAACCTAATCACAAGCTTTAACATAAATAAGTTTTAAATTCAATAGACCGTGACTGAGTGGGCTGGGCAAAATAATATCCCTGGAAATTCGATGTGACACTGCTAAAACAACTGAATACCAAGTATCACTGACTTTCCTTTTGTGGTTCCCCTTAAACTGACCTAATCATAATTTTTAACAAATTGTTGACACTACTAATAGCAGGCCTAAGTCTTGCCGCCTTGATTTTGTCAACGCCAAACAAAAAGTAAATATCATCTATTCTCACTTCAGAATAGAATATTTTCATATTTAGAGGTATAATAAATGTTGATCTGAAAACAATTTACATTTTTACAAAACCAAATATTTGGGTCCTCAAAAGAAAGTATGTTTAAACAAGAATGTGTCCATAGTACACAGATGCCCCACTCGCACTATCATTTTTTATGTTCAGTGGACCGTGAAATTGTGGTCAAAACTCTAATTTGGCATTAAAATTAGAAAGTTCATATCATAGGGAACATGTGTTCTAAGTTTCAAGTTGATTGGACTTCAACTTCATCAAAAACTACCTTGACCAAAAACTTTAACCTGAAGCGGGACAGACAGACGGACGAACGGATGGACAGACGGATGAACGAATAGACGCACAGACCGAAAAACATAATGCCCCTAGGTGGGGCATAAAAATAAAACAAGAAAGCACACAATATTGTGCTAAGCATACCTCCACTCTTAATTCAGAGTATTGGAAAGCAAGAAGTAGGGGTCTAACGATCTGAAAAGTGCAAACATGTTAGAACTCATCATTAACAAGCAGCTTATTTGAGAAAAATGTGTGACGAAAATATTTGAGTTCATTAAGTTCATTCAACACATCAAACATGTTAACAAATCAAGTATCTGCAAACAGGAAGTAAATATCTGACATGTACGCCTTACAATCATTCCATAAAAAATATATAGTTAACCTTTTGCTTAAAGTATCTGCGAAATAGACCTAACCAAGAAAACTAAACTTTGACCAATGAACCATGAAATTGAGGTCAACATAGAATTAAGGAGATGTGGTATGATTGCGAATGAGACAAATATCCACCAGAGTTCAAAGAAGCGGAGATAAGAAATGATAGGTCACTGCAAGGCATTCAAGGAGAAAACCACACACCATATGTGTGGCCACAAAACACACCAGACATGAACACTTAACATGAACTCTGCAATACAGACATGCATACCATACACTTATTTTAAATACCAAATATAGATGACTTAATGCTTATAGTACCCAAGAAACAGACCTTAGTATGACAAGAGTGCACACGCTGAAATGTCGCCTTCTTTACTAATCATTGATATTAAGTTGATAGTCCTAAATATAAAGCTTTATTACAACTGTCACATAAACTTAACATTAACCAAGTAAATATAAACTAAACATTGACCAATGAACCATAAAAATGAGGTCAAGGTCAGATGAACCATGCTAGGCAGGCATGTACAGCTAACAATTCTTCCAAACAACAAATATAGTTGACCTATTGCTTATAGTTTAAGAAAAACAGACCAAAACACAAAAACTTAACACTGAGCAATGAACCTTGAAAATGAAAAAGGTCAAATAAAACCTGCGTGACTGACAAATAGATCATAAAATATTTCCATACACCAAATATAGTTGAACTATTGCATATAGTATTAGAAAAAAAGACCAAAACTCAAAAACTTAACTTTGACCCCTGCCCGCTAGACATGTACACCTTGCAATCATTCCATACACCAAATATAGTAGACCTATTGCATACAGTATAAGAAAAACAGACCAAAACACAAAAACTGAACTATAACCACTGAACCATGAAAATGAGGTCAAGGTCAGATGACACCTGCCAGTTGGACATGTACACCTTACAGTCCTTCCATACACCGAATATACTAGACCTATTGCTTATAGTATCTGAGATATTGACTTGACCACCAAAACTTAACCTTGTTCATTGATCCATGAAATGAGTTGGAGGTCAAGTGAAAACTATCTGACGGGCATGAGGACCTTGCAAGGTACGCACGTACCAAATATAGTTATCCTATTACTTATAATAAGAGAGAATTTAACATTACAAAAAATCTTAACTTCTTTTTCAAGTAGTCACTGAACCATGAAAATGAGGTCAAGGACATTGGACATGTGACTGACGGAAACTTCGTAACATGAGGCATCCATATACAAAGTATGAAGCATCCAGACCTTCCACCTTCTAAAATATAAAACTTTTAAGAAGTTAGCTAACGCCGCCGCTGCCGTAGCTGTTGCCGGATCACTATCCCTATGTCGAGCTTTCTGCGACAAAAGTCGCAGGCTCGACAAAAACTATACATCGACAAAAGAACCATGAAAAGGAGGTCAAGGTCAGATGAATCCTGCAAAACAGGCCTGTACCCCTAACAATCATCCCATACACAAAATATAGTTGACCTATTGGATCCAAGAAACAAACAAAACACACAAACTCAACATTGACCAATGAACCATGAAAATGAGATCAAGGTCAGTTGAAAACTGCCTGACAGACATGTTCACCTTACAATTATTCTATACATCAAATATAGTTGACCTATTACTTACATGATCCAAGAAACAAGCCTTAGCAAATTAAAACATAACTAAATTTGTATTTTCTTTTCAAACGGGATGTATAGAGACACACACATGTTCATTTTTATCTATAAAGAAGTCACTCCCAACTACAGTCAGGGGTACTACTTGTACAAGTAATTTTTATTTACTTGAAGAAGTAATTATAATATACTTATATAAGTAAATTTGTAGGATACTTATACAAGTGTATTTTTTTTACTTGTATAAGTAAATTATTTTTTGGCCTAGTTATGTCCCTTAGGCGTTCAGATTTTTTTACTTATACAAGTAAAAAAGTCATCCTATCTTCTTTTCTTGAATTCTTAGAACTTCTTTGCTCTAACAGAATTTTGAATTGTCTGTCCTTTGCAGATGTCTTTACTATTCATTTAAGTGTAATTTCATGGACAATGAAAATCTCATTTGTCTTTTATCTTTAGAACACTGCTCATTTACAAGCCCCCAAGGAGCAATTTTTGAAGGCCTTGCGCAAATACTTAAGATCTTTGCTCAATCAGTTTCTTTGTTGAATTAATGAGATGAAACATTGAACTCTTATCAAAAATTATGAGCTAACCTGAGAAAAATTGTTAAAGGCATGATTTTACATCTCAAAACTTGAGAATTTTTGTGGGATTGTAAAAAAAATTTACTTATACAAGTAAATTTTTTAGAAAATTAAGGGGAGATTATTCAAACAATATAATTAACTTGTATAAGTATATTTTATTTACTTCTTCAAGTAAATAAAAATTACTTGTACAAGTAGTACCCCTGACTGAACTATCCTACTGCCTGTAGATACATTTATTTTTGGTATTGCACAAGTCATGTCTTCTGTGACTGTTCAGGACTTTAAAATACTAAATCCCTGGGATGTGTTTTAGTTGATTTTAGTCTCTGATGCATGATTTTTTATTATTAATTGTTTTGGCATTTAACTAGCTGTCAGTAAGTGCGAGTACTCTCAAATCGTACTTTAATTTGACCTGTTGATACTAGTTGTAATGCTATTTTGTTATTTAATGTTATCATGGATCTTGTCTGAATACCAGCTTTGATTATTAGGAATTACTACAAATTTTCAAAGTTTATGTAGTTCATACGAGTTTCTCGTTTCTTGTTTTTATATAGATTAGACCGTTGGTTTTCCCGTTTGAAAGGTTTTACACTAGTAATTTTTGGGGCCCTTTATAGCTTGCTGTTCGGTGTGAGCCAATGCTCCGTGTTGAAGGCCGTACCTTGACCTATAATGGTTTACTTTTATAAATTGTAACTTGGATGGAGAGTTGTCTCATTGGCACTCATACCACATCTTCCTATATCTATAAACGCAAAAACTCAACATTGACCAATGAACCATGAAAATGAGGACAAGGTCAGACAAAAACTGCCAGACAGACATGTTCACCGTACAATCATTCTATACATTAAATACAGTTGACCTACTATAGCATCTGAGATATTGACTTGACAATAAAAACTTTGCCTTGATTACTGATCAATGACATGACTGAATAGGATTGCTATCCCTATGTCTTACATTATAGGACTTTTGTCGCAGGTGAGATATAAATCATTGGTTTCTAACATCTATTATGTCAGCGTGTTGTCTATAGAATGGCTACCTTTATCTTGTTGAAATAATTCTAGCAAAGTAGAATATCGCTTGCGATTGCAGAGTACGGATAGAAGACCATATATTTGATAGTACTTACTATGTCCTGTATTTCATATACTGGAAAGCTGCTAACGCTATAGCTCCTTAGTTTGTTATTATCTATCATAGTGATTAATCTTCTTAATACATTGCAGTTAATTGAATGATACGTACAGAAAACATATAATTGTTATTCTGCAATTTGTAGAGTAGGGCATAACATATAATGTGTTAAAACTAATGAAATAAAGTTATAGAAAATTACCTGCTACCCCTTGTCCAGCAGTCACACCGGAAGATTTCTCTGACATGACAGTCTAAAAAATGAAGAATATGCACTGTAAATATATCTTCACTCATGTCTCTTGTAGAACTATTAAATTTCTAAATATAAACCCCCCAAAAATAATATATAATACAAATGCTTCACATTATATAATATATATCAAACAAAGTTTTTCAACTGGACATTAAGCAACCAACAATCAATCAATCAATCGAACAAATTTTCATATTTTTCAGGAAAATGTGTGGCTCAGAGTAATAATGAGATATATAGTTTCAAGGAAACAGGTTGTTTTTGAATTTGGAAAATCCCCTTGCAGGTATTTATGTCCCCATAAAATTATACAATGCAGCATGAATATTTGTGTTTAAACTTTAATGGAAACTGTGGACCAAAACTTGTTTCGCTGATCATTTTGGCCGGACCAAGTTTTATAGTTTTAAAGATAATTAGAGGCTCTCAAGTGCCTGTGTCGCTCACCTGTATCTACTGTGGTTTTGGAAATCATGTAAAATAAGGTTAAAATCATAATAAATAGTATTAGATACCCCCAATAATAATTGAGACCAAGTTTGGTTTAATTTGGCCCAGTAGTTAAATTAAAAGCAGGTCATCCCATTGTAGTCTTACAATAGTTACTGAAAGACCCCTTATCATTATTTAAATTAGTTTTCAAGTTGTGACCATTTGAAATTATTTTTTTTGCAATTTTCCCATAGACTTCTATAGTAAACCCCTATGTTCTATTTTAGCCATGGCAGCCATCTTGGTCGATGGGCAGGGTCATCGGATACATTTTCTAAACTAGATACCCAAAGGATGATTAAGGCCAAGTTTGGTTTAATTTGGCCCAGTAGTTTCAGAGGAGAAGATTTTTGTAAAAGATAACAAAAAATTACGAAAAATTGTGAAAAATTGACTTTAAAGGGCAGTAACTCTTTATGGGGTCAATTGACAATTTTGGTCATGTTGACTTATATGTAGATCTTACGTTGCTGAACAATTTTGCTGTTTATAGTTTATCTCTATCTATTATTATATTCAAGATAACAAGAGTGCACACGCTGAAATGTCTCGCCTTATTTACTAATCATTGATATTATGTTGATAGTCCTAAATATAAAGCTTTATTACAACTGTCACATAAACTTAACATTAACCAAGTAAACTAAACATTGACCAATGAACCATGAAAATGAGATCAAGGTCAGATGAACCATGCTAGGCAGGCATGTACAGCTAACAATTCTTCCATACAACAAATATAATTGACCTATTGCTTATAGTTTAAGAAAAAGAGACCAAAACACAAAAACTTAACACTGAGCAATGAACCTTGAAAATGATGTCAAGGTCAAATAAAACCTGTGTGACTGACATATAGATCATACAATATTTCCATACACCAAATATAGTTGAACTATTGCATATAGTATTAGAAAAAAAGACCAAAACACAAAAAACTTAACTTTGACCACTGAACCATGAAAATGAGGTCAAGGTCAGATGACACCTGCCAGCTAGACATGTACACCTTACAATCATTCCATACACCAAATATAGTAGACCTATTGCATACAGTATAAGAAAAACAGACCAAAACACAAAAACTTAACTATAACCACTGAACCATGAAAATGAGGTCAAGGTCAGATGACACCTGCCAGTTGGACATGTACACCTTACAGTCCTTCCATACACCGAATATACTTGACCTATTGCTTATAGTATCTGAGATATGGACTTAGCTACCAAAACTAAACCTTGTTCACTGATCCATCAAATGAGGTCGAGGTCAGATGACACCTGCCAGCTAGACATGTACACCTTACAATCATTCCATACACCAAATATAGTAGACCTATTGCATACAGTATAAGAAAAACAGACCAAAACACAAAAACTTAACTATAACCACTGAACCATGAAAATGAGGTCAAGGTCAGATGACACCTGCCAGTTGGACATGTACACCTTACAGTCCTTCCATACACCGAATATACTAGACCTATTGCTTATAGTATCTGAGATATGGACTTGACCACCAAAACTTAACCTTGTTCACTGATCCATGAAATGAGGTCAAGGTCAGATGACACCTGCCAGCTAGACATGTACACCTTACAATCATTCCATACACCAAATATAGTAGACCTATTGCATACAGTATAAGAAAAACAGACCAAAACACAAAAACTTAACTAGAACCACTGAACCATGAAAATGAGGTCAAGGTCAGATGACACCTGCCAGTTGGACATGTACACCTTACAGTCCTTCCATACACCAAATATACTAGACCTATTGCTTATAGTATCTGAGATATGGACTTGACCACCAAAATTTAACCTTGTTCATTGATCCATGAAATGAGGTCGAGGTCAAGTGAAAACTGTCTGACGGGCATGAGGACCTTGCAAGGTACGCACATACCAAATATAGTTGAACTATTGCACATAGTATTAGAAAAAAAGACCAAAACTCAAAAACTTAACTTTGATCACTGAACCATGAAAATGAGGTCAAGGTCAGATGACACCTGCCCCCTAGACATGTACACCTTACAATCATTCCATACACCAAATGTAGTAGACCTATGGCATACAGTATAAGAAAAACAGACCAAAACACAAAAACTTAACTATAACCACTGAACCATGAAAATGAGGTCAAGGTCAGATGACACCTGCCAGTTGGACATGTACACCTTACAGTCCTTCCATACACCGAATATACTAGACCTATTGCTTATAGTATCTGAGATATGGACTTGACCACCAAAACTTAACCTTGTTCACTGATCCATGAAATGAGGTCGAGGTCAAGTGAAAACTGTCTGACGGGCATGAGGACCTTGCAAGGTACGCACATACCAAATATAGTTATCTTATTACTGATAATAAGAGAGAATCTAACATTACAAAAAATCTGAACTTTTTTTTCAAGTAGTCACTGAACCATGAAAATGAGATCAAGGACATTGGACATGTGACTGACGGAAACTTCGTAACATGAGGCATCCATATACAAAGTATGAAGCATCCAGACCATCCACCTTCTAAAATATAAAGCTTTTAAGAAGTAAGCTAACGCCGCCGCCGCCGGATCGCTATCCCTATGTCGAGCTTTCTGCGACAAAAGTCGCAGGCTCGACAAAAACCAAAAACTGCAAAATTTCCTTAAAATTACCAATTCAGGGGCAGCAACCCAACAACAGGCTGTATGATGCGTCTGAAAATTTCAGGGCAGATAGATCTTGACCTGATAAACATTTTTACCCATATAAATAATATAAGCCGAACACTGCATTTTACCCCATGTTCTATTTTTATACATGGCGGCCATCTTGGTTGATGGGCAGGGTCATCGGATACATATTTAAAACTAGATACCCTAAGAATGATTTAGGCCAAGTTGGTTTTATTTGGTCCAGTAGTTTCAGAGGAGAAGATTTTTGTAAAAGTTAAAGGACGACGATGATGGACGACGGACGCCAAGTGATGAGGAAAGCTCACTTGGCCCTTTTTGGGCCAGGTGAGCTAAAAAGCAGAAATGAAAAATAAACAAGAGGCTCAAAGGAACTTGTATCGCACACCTTGGCATTTTTGCCAACACTTAATTGGATTGATTACTTAATTCAATGATTGATTGATTGTTGGTATTTAACACTACTTTTAGTATTACTGGCTTTATTGTGTCAGTCAGTTTTTATTTTTGGAGGAAGCATGAGTACCCTTAGAGAACCATCGACCTTCAGCAGGTCAATTAAGATTGGAGTCAAAAGCACCTCACAAGCTCAGTGTTATTGGCTTTATTGTGTCAGTCAGTTTTTATTGGTGGAGGAAGCCTGAGTACCCTTAGAGAACCACGACCTTCAGCAGGTCAATTAAGATTGGAATCAAACGCACCTCACAAGCTTAGTGTTATTGGCTTTATTGCGGCAGTCAGTTTTTATTGGTGGAGGAAGCCTGAGTACCCTTAGAGAACCACGACCTTCAGCAGGTCAATTAAGATTGGAGTCAAACGCACCTCACAAGTTCAGTGTTATTGGCTTTATTGTGGCAGTCAGTTTTTATTGGTGGAGGAAGCCTGAGTACCCTTTATAGAGAATCACCAACCTTCGGCAGGTCAATTAAGATTGGAGTCGAACGCACCTCACAAGCTCAGTGTTAAAGTACACTTAGAGAACCACAACCTTCAGCAGGTCAATAAAGATTGAAGTCAAACGCACCTCACAAGCTGTTATTGGCTTTATTGTGGCAGTCAGTTTTTATTGGTGGAGGAAGCCTGAGTACCCTTTATAGAGAATCACCAACCTTCGGCAGGTCAATTAAGATTGGAGTCGAACGCACCTCACAAGCTCAGTGTTGGGTGCTATGCAACAAGATTAATTTGTGCAAATAGGACGTAGGTAGATCTTGACTTTCAGAGCATTTTTGCTCCTGGCAGATTTTGTTCAATCTATTGTGGTTTTCAATATATAAAACAGTTAATGCATTTTACCATTATGATCTATTTATAGCTATGGCAGCCATGTTTTGTCTTTTAAGGCTATAACTCCTTTAAAAGTCATCTAGTTGTTTAGGTTGTATCAGCAGTTTTATAGATTTTGCATTTCAGATTATTTTTGCTGTTTACATTTTATACTTCTTTATTATAGTTTTCAAGGTAATGGGCAAAAGCAATAAAATTAGTAACAAAAATGTCATTTAAGGTTAACAACTCCTATGGCCCAATATTGTTTTTGTCATATTGGCATTTTGTAGATCATGTATTGTTGATCCTTTGTGCTATAAACAATCTTTACCTATCTCATAAAGATTTTGAGATAAGAGACAAAAAAATGAAAACAAGCATTTTGAGAGTATTGCATGGCAATACACAGTCCCCTACCGGTTAACAATTCATTGTATTGGAACAAAATGCTTACTTGATCTATAACATTTCAAGTTGTAAAATATCAAATCAATATCTTCAAGCATGACAGAAACTAAGAATGTGTCCATAGTACATGGATGCCCCACTCGCACTATCATTTTCTATGTTCAGTGGACCGTGAAATTGGGGTAAAAACTCTAATTTGGCATTAAAATTAGAAAGATCATATCATAGGGAACATGTGTACTAAGTTTCAAGTTGATTGAAATTCAACTTCATCAAAAACTACCTTGACCAAAAACTTTAACCAAAAACTTTAACCTGAAGCGAAATTTTATCTTGATCTGTAACTTGTCATGGTAAAACTATATACCAAATATCAAATCAATATCTTCAAGCATAATAAAAAAAAATTTGGAGAAACTGATTATTTGCGTGAATTTTCTAAGTCCAAAAAAAAGTAGGGCAAAGTTTTATGTAAGACAAGCTAAAAATACAATACAGTTATCTCCATTGTTATGCATTCTAATACAAAATTAACAAAGAATTCAATTATCGACATACTGTCACAAATAGAAATTCAAACAAGAGGCTCTCAAAAGCCTGAATAGCTCACCTGTATTTCAGAGCAGAAGAATTTTAAATGTTAGCAAACTTGATGAACAAATTGTGTAAAATTGTCTTTAAAGGGCAATAACTCCTTAAGGGGTCAATTGACAATTATGGTCATATAAACTTTTTTGTAGATCTTACTTTGCTGAACATTATTGCTGCTTACAGTTTATATATATCTATAATAATATTCAAAAAAATTCGTAAGGGTTCCGCGGAACCCAGTGTCTCGCCTAATTTTTCTGTTAATCACAGGCTCAACAAAAATGAGGAAGTAAATCAATAAAAATATTCCTCTTGATACTATCTTTTGATTGTAAGAAGCTTCTGTCCAAGTTTGGTAAAAATCCAGGATAGTTTAAGAATCTAATAAATGTTTAAAAACTTTAACTGCAGACTGAATGTAATGTTAACTGGGAGAAAACAAAATTTCCTTCTAGATACTAGCATTTGATCATAAACAAGCTTCTGTCCAAGTTTGGTACAAATCCATAATAGTATAAGAAAAATATAAAAATTTTAAAAACTTGAACCACAGAGTGAATGTGTTGTTTCCTGGCAGAAAATCTAAGTCCATTTAAAAGTAAAATATGAAAAAAATGGATTTATTTTTTTACAAAATTTCCTTCTAGATACTAGCTTTTGATCATTAACAAGCTTCTGTCCAAGTTTGGTACAAATCCAAAATAGTATAAGAAAGTTATTAAAATTTTAAAAACTTTAACCACAGAGTGAATGTGTTGTTTCCTGGCAGAAAATCTAAGTCCATTTAAAAGTAAAATATGAAAAAAATGGATTTATTTTTTTACAAAATTTCCTTCTAGATACTAGCTTTTGATCATTAACAAGCTTCTGTCCAAGTTTGGTACAAATCCAAAATAGTATAAGAAAGTTATTAAAATTTTAAAAACTTTAACCACAGAGTGAATATGTTGTTTCCTGGCAGAAAATCTAAGTCCATTTAAAAGTAAAATAAGGAAAAAATAGATTTTTTTTTTACAAAATTTCCTTCTTGATACTATCTTATGATCATAAACAAGCTTCTGTCCAAGTTTGGTAGAAACCAATGGTAGTATAAGAAAGTTATTAAAATTTTAAAAACTTTAACCTCAGAGTGAATGTAATATTTCCCGGCAGAAAAACTAAGTCCATTTATAAGTAAAATACGGAAAAAAATAAGAAAGTTATTAAAATATCAAAAACTTTAACCACAGAGTGAATATTTGTGGACACCGCCGCCGACGACGACACCGACGGAATGTAGGATCGCTATGTCTAGCCATTTCGACTAAAGTCGAAGGCTCGACAATAAAAACAAATAAAATGCTCCGCAGTGCGCAGCTTGATATGACCGCAGAGGTCGAACCCTGAACAGTTGGGGCAAGTATGGACACAACATTCAAGCTTGATACAGCTCTGAATTTGGATTGTGATTAAATATTTGACACAGCATAGGTTTCTGACACAGAATGAATGTGGTCTAGGAACTTAAAAATTTTAAATTGGACATTCACTTATTATGGTCCAATATCCAAAATCTATATACATGGTTAGATTCAGCATATCAAAGAACCCCAAGAATACAATTTTTGATGAATTTAAACATAGTTTAATTTTGGACCCTTTTGACCTCAATGTGGACAAAGTTGATAACGGGGCCCAAAAATCAAAAATCTAAATACATGGTTAGATTCAGCATATCAAAGAACCCCATATTCAATTTTTGTTAAAACTACCAATTCGGTGGCAGCAACACAACAATGGGTTGTTCGATTCGTCTGAAAATTTCGGATACAATTTATAAACAAGATACCCTAAGGAACATTAAGTTAAAGTTTGAAGGTATTTGGCCCAGTAGTTTCAGAGGAGAAGATTTTTAAATGTTAGCAAACTTGATGAACAAATTGTGTAAAATTGTCTTTAAAGGGCAATAACTCCTTAAGGGGTCAATTGACAATTTTGGTCATATTAACTTTTTTGTAGATCTTACTTTGCTGTACATTATTGCTGCTTACAGTTTATATATATCTATAATAATATTCAAAATAATAACAAAAAACTGCAAAATTTTGTTAAAACTACCAATTTGGTGGCAGCAACCCAACAATGGGTTGTTCGATTCGTCTGAAAATTTCAGAGCTGATAAATCTTGACCAATTGAACAATTTTACTCCATGTCAGATTTGCTCTAAAAGCTTTAGTTTTTGAGATATAAGCCAAAAACTGCATTTGACCCCTATGTTCTATTTTTAGCCATGGCGGCCATGTTTGTTGATGGATCAAAACTTCAGATATAATTTATAAACAAGATACCCTAAGGAACATTTTGTTAAAGTTTGAAGGTATTTGGCCCAGTAGTTTCAGAGAAGAAGATTTTTGAAATAGTTTACGACGACAGACGACAACGACGACGACAGACAACGGATGATGACGGACGCCAAGTGATGGCATAAGCTCACATGGGGCCCTTCGGGCCCCGTTGAGATAAAAACTTGCTCTTGTCTTGTTCACTCTTGAATGAAATAGAAGACATCTGCTAACTTTGTTGATTATTGAAAAAATCACATAACAATAAATTCCAATTGAAAAATGACGGCTAAGCTTAGTTAAAGGCCAGTTAAGCGTGGAATTTAGCGCCTCACATATATGATGTTGTCCAATAAAAATCGTGATAATAGATAAATTGCATTAGACTTTTAAATTGTGTGTTCAAGACTTAAAAGTTGTCTCATTGGCACTCATACCACATCTTATATCTATTAAAGAATGTTTAACTGTTTTAAGATTTCTCTCCTGAAGTATCATTCTAAGTGTAAGTATTTGTATTTCAACACTATAAGTACCTGTAAGTATTCCATCACTTCTTTATTCTGTCTAACTGCTGCTAGATCGTAAGGAGTCTTACCCTGAAATACAGATAAATCTTTATATTGCTTTCATCTGATAACTACAAAGAAGACTTTTGTCACACATATCTTACAATTAGTATTTGCAGCAGCTGAGTTGTGTTTTATTTTATTTTTATAGATGCTAACCAGATTATATTCCTTTATTAAATATAACTCATGAGACAACATTCAGATTATTTTTCAAAATTTGTTAAAGACTTTAAATAGGCTTTTTACTCTTCTTTATAAAGCATATGAATAAAAGCTCCATCTGTCATCATTTGGTTTTTGTAATTATCTTTCCAGTTTGAAGATTGGTAAATGCATCCTTATGTCTATATGACATGCATGTATGAGGGGCTGTGGGGTTTTGGGGGTCTTCAATTTAAACTATTTATTTGTTTATTTTTTTTTTGACAAATTATTCCCAGTTCTTTATATTTTAGCACCCCATTATTTTCTATTCTTTAGATTTTTTAACCTCATTATTTTTAGTTCAATAATTTTTTTTAAATTTCTCTCTATTCTCAAAGATCTTATCTTCCATTCATGATTTTCTAATCTGTATACCAAATCCACACTTTCCTCTATCTGTATACCCAATCCACACCCCCCCCCCCCTACATCTGATATACTGATATATACTGTTACCATTTAGTAATCGTATGATAAAATTAATGGATCTCGTGTTGTCCATAATTTATAGTAGTAATTTTACGAATCAGCTGTTTTGTTTACGCTTTTACATCACTGTTTTTACGATAGAATTTCACCTCATACAGAATATTTACGGTTGGTTGGCAGGTACATTTATGATAGATGATGTGGGAATGTGTTTACCCTTTTAACTTACTTATTTTCTTAATATAATAACTTGTGTTTTAGCCGTAATCATCTAAATCCCAACAGTGCCATAATCTATTTTACTCGAGCAGCCATATTAGTTGTGTATTGGCGGTTTATTACACGAGATTGCTTGTTTACATAACAAACGTTTTGATTGGTTGATCTACTGACCCAAAAATTATAAATAGAAGGTTAATGAAACGAACTTCAGAAATATTCTCATCGTCTGCAAGAGCAGTCATAAAATTTAGCTTAGTCGTTCTATTTTAGTCAACCTGGTTTATTTTAGATATGTCTGAGCCACAGTCAACCTTTAGTCTGGTACGCAGGTTTTAAATGTTTTAAGAAAAACTAAACCTTCTACACATGGCTATTGTTTGTTTTGCATAAGTCAACCTTCAACCTACAGAAAAGTCCCGTCAACTGTCGTTCCACTTAGTCAACCTTCTATCGTTATTATAATTATGAGAGAGGTTTTCTGGAAATCTACTTTCATTTTAACAGAAAGAATTAAGATATATGTATATTTTATTAAATCAACCCTTATAAGTATTTTATACTATCGGTAAAAGAAGGTTGAAAAGTTCAACCTTCTACCAAATCAACCTACGCAAACAATCAACCTTATTGGAATTTCAAGTCAACCTTCTTGACCTATAAATTATAGATGATTATGGCATATTGTATATAAATGCAAGAGTGCACACGCTGAAATGTCTCGCCTTCTTTACTAATCATTGATATTATGTTGAAAGTCCTAAATATAAAGCTTTATTACAACTGTCACATAAACTTAACATTAACCAAGTAAACTAAACCTTGACCAATGAACCATGAAAATGAGGTCAAGGTCAGATGAACCATGCTAGGCAGGCATGTACAGCTAACAATTCTTCCATACAACAAATATAGTTGACCTATTGCTTATAGTTTAAGAAAAACAGACGAGAACACAAAAACTTAACACTGAGCAATGAACCTTGAAAATGAGGTCAAGGTCAAATAAAACCTGTGTGACTGACATATAGATCATAAAATATTTCCATACACCAAATATAGTTGAACTATTGCATATAGTATTAGAAAAAAAGACCAAAACTCAAAAACTTAACTTTGACCACTGAACCATGAAAATGAGGTCAAGGTAAGATGACACCTGCCAGCTAGACATGTACACCTTACAATCATTCCATACACCAAATATAGCTGACCTATTGCATGCAGTATTAGAAAAAAAGACCAAAACTCAAAAACTTAACTTTGACCACTGAACCATGAAAATGAGGTCAAGGTCAGATGACACCTGCCAGCTAGACATGTACACCTTACAATCATTCCATACACCAAATATAGTAGACCTATTGCATACAGTATAAGAAAAACAGACCAAAACACAAAAACTTAACTATAACCACTGAACCATGAAAATGAGGTCAAGGTCAGATTACACCTGCCAGTTGGACATGTACACCTTACAGTCCTTCCATACACCAAATATACTAGACCTATTGCTTATAGTATCTGAGATATGGACTTGACCACGAAAACTTAACCTTGTTCACTGATCCATGAAATGAGGTCGAGGTCAAGTGAAAACTGTCTGATGGGCATGAGGACCTTGCAAGGTATGCACATACCAAATATAGTTATCCTATTACTTATAATAAGAGAGAATTTAACATTACAAAAAATCTGAACTTTTTTTTTCAAGTAGTCACTGAACCATGAAAATGAGGTCAAGGACATTGGACATGTAACTGACGGAAACTTCGTAACATGAGTCATCCATATACAAAGTATGAAGCATCCAGGTCTTCCATCTTCTAAAATATAAAGCTTTTAAGAAGTTAGCTAACGCCGCCGCCGCCGCCGGATCGCTATCCCTATGTCGAGCTTTCTGCGACAAAAGTCGCAGGCTCGACAATAAATGTATGTTTTTATGATGAATTGTAAATATTTGATTATATAGATGCTACATAAAGTACGTCTGAGATTTACACCTGACTTAGTTATTATTTCAACCTTAAACCAACTCAAAGGATCCATGCAAATTATGTTCGATCAAGCCTCTTATTCTAATTATTCTTACCACTCGGTTTAAGGGCCGAAATCGTTACAATGCACCCTCCACACTCTCTTGTATCTGTATACCCCATCCACACCCTCCTATATCTGTATACCACATCCATACCCTCCTATATCTGTATATCCAATCACACCCTCCTATATCTGTATACCAAATCCACACCCTCCTAAATCAATACCCCATTAACACCCTCCTATGTCTGTTACCCATTCATACCCTCCTATATTTGTATACCCCTTCCACACTCTCCTATATCTGTATACCAAATCCACACCCTCCTATACCTGTATACTCCACCCACACCCTCCTATATCTGTATACCCCCTCCACACCCTCCTCTACCTGTATACCCCATCCACACCATCCTCTATCTGTATACCCAATCCACACTCTCCTATATCTGAATACGACATCTACACACTCCTATATCTGTATACCACATCCATACCCTCATATATCTGTATATCCCATCCACATCCTCCTATATCTGTATACCCCATCCACACCCTCCTATATCTGGATACCACATCCATACCATCCTATATCTGTATATCGTATCCACACCCTCCTATATCTGTATACCCCTTCCACATTCTTCTATATCAATACCCTATTCACACCATCCTATATCTGTTACCCATCCATACCCTCCTATATCTGTACAGCCCTTCCACACCTTCTTATTTTTGTATACCACATCAACACCCTCCTATATCTGTATACCCCATCCACACCCTCCTATATCTGTATTCCCCTAAATAACCTCCTATACCTGTTTACTCCATCCACACCATCCTATATCTGTATACCCCCTCCACACCCTCCTGTATCTGTTAACCCCTCCACACCCTCCTCTATCTGTATACCCCATCCACACCATCCTCTATCTGTATACCTCCTCCCATACTCCTATATCTGTATACCCAATCCACTCCCTTCTATATCTGTATACCCCTCCAAACCCTCCTTTATCTATACACCCCATCCACACCCTCCTATACCTGTATACCCAATCCACACCCTCCTATATCTGTATACTCCATCCACACCCTCCTTTATCTGTATACTCCATCCACACCCTCCTTTATCTGTATACCCAATCCACTCCCTTCTATATCTGTATACCCCTCCAAACCCTCCTTTATCTATACACCCCATCCACACCCTCCTATACCTGTATACCCAATCCACACCCTCCTATACCTGTATACTCCATCCACACCCTCCTTTATCTGTATACTCCATCCACACCCTCCTTTATCTGTATACCCAATCCACTCCCTTCTATATCTGTATACCCCTCCAAACCCTCCTTTATCTATACACCCCATCCACACCCTCCTATACCTGTATACCCAATCCACACCCTCCTATATCTGTATACTCCATCCACACCCTCCTATATCTTTATACCCATCCACACTCTCCTATATATGTATACCCCATCCACACCATCGTATATCTGTGTACCACATCCATATCCTCCTATATCTGTATATCCCATTCACAGTTTACCACATTCACAGTCACACCCACCTATATCTATATCACCCTCCTATATGTGCGCACCCCATCTACACCCTCCTTAATCTGTTTATTTGTATTAATAGTTTTTGAAGGCCTCATGGAAGATTAACATGTCATTGTTAAATGTGTTACCTTCCTTCCTTAATAAAGAATTTTATTATTATTATTATACCCCATCCACACCCTCCTATATCTGTATACCCTATCCACACCCTCCCACATCTGTATACCCCATCCATACCCTCATATATCTGTAAATCCCATCCACACCCTCCTATATCTGTATACCCCATCCACACCCTCCTATATCTGTTTACCCCATCTACACCCTCCTATATCTGCATACCCCATGCACACCCTCCTATATCTGTTTACCCCATCCACACCCTCCTATATCTGTTTACCCGATCCACACCTTCTTATATGTGTTTACCCCTGTACACCCTCCTATATCTGTTTACCCCATCTATACCCTCCTATATCTGTATACCCATCCACATCCACCAGGGGATTTCTGGGTTTTTTGGGGAAAAGGACCCTTGCCAGTTTTGGGATTTTTTTTTCAATGAAATTGGGAAAACAAAAAATATACCAGATGCGAGTTTTTATGTGTTTAGTCATTAAAAATTATCTTTTTAAGTGAAAATAAAGTAAGAAACTACATGATTGCTGTTTATAATTTTATTTTTTGTTCTTTTTATTTTTAAACTTAACAGCAAGGCACTCTAGTTTTTTTTTGTGTCAAAATATCATAGTTCTTAAAAGCACACATGTGATAAAAAGTTACTGCCTTGTTTATCTTCAAAGACAGTAACAGTTAACATGGTTAATATAATAAATCATTCAGGGATAGAAATAAAATGTATTTTAACTGGCCAAGCAGGCTAACACTTTTCTTAATTCACTTGCTTTTCCAAATTTTTACTGGTCCTTCAAAATTGAAAAGAAATTACCTCTTGGATCTGTTGTTATATGTTTACATTATAAAAACATCTAATATCAACATTTTTTAGTTATAATTAAAGAAAGGTAATGTCCTTTTTATTGGATTTTGACATGACAATTTGTGAACTAAAATAATTTTTGAGTTTCTGTATAAAATATTTCCTGTTTCTTCTTTCTTTTTCACATATCTTTTGGTTTTCAATTCTAGTGTTTATATTTCATAGCTATATTTTGTCACCTGACTGGAATTTTTTATTCTATTTATTTAGATGTACATTGCATTTGATCGGCAAACATGGGATTAGCCTTATCCGCTCCCGGAATTTAATCCGGTATTGTAATTATCTACATTTTCAGTTTATGGCAGCCATTGTTTGTAAATGTTGTTTTTGACAGTCAGATATATTCTTACTCAAATGTCCACACCCTCCTATATATCTGTAAACCCCATCCACACCTTCCTATATCTGTATACCCCTCCACACCCTCTTATATCTGTTTACCCCATCCACACCCTCCTTTATATCTGTATACCCCTCCACACCATCCTATATCTATATACCCCATCCACACCCTCCTATATCTGTTTACCCCATCCACACCCTCCTCCTCCTATATCTGTATACCCCTCCACACCCTCCTATATCTGTTTACCCCATCCACACCCTCCTATATCTATATACCCCATCCACACCCTCCTATTTCTGTATACCCCTTCAACACCCACCTATTTCTATATACCCCATCCACATCCTCCTATAACTGTATACCCCATCCACACCCTCATATATCTGTATACCCCTGTACACCCTCCTATATCTGTACACCCCATCTATACCCTCTTATATCTGTATACCCTATCCACACCATCCTATATCTGTATACCCCATCCACACCCTCCTATATCTGTATACCCCTGTACACCCCATCTATACCCTCCTATATCTGTATACCCCATCCAAACCCTCCTATATCTGTATACCGCATCCACACCCTCCTATATCTGTATCCTATATCTGTATACCCCATCTATACCCTCCTACATCTGTATACCCCATCTTTATCCTACTATATCTGTATACCCCATTCACACCCACCTATATCTGTTTACCACATCCACACCCTCCTATTTCTGTATACCCCTTCCACACCCACCTATTTCTATATACCCCATTCACATCCTTCTATAACTGTATACCCCATCCACACCCTTCTATATCTGTATCCTATATCTGTATACCCCATCTATACCCTCCTATATCTGTATACCCCATCTTTATCCTCCTATATCTGTATACCCCATTCACACCCACCTATATCTGTATACCACATCCACACCCTCCTATTTCTGTATACCCCTTCCACACCCACCTATTTCTATATACCCCATTCACATCCTCCTATATCTGTATACCCCATCCACATCCTCCTATAACTGTATACTCCATCCACACCCTTCTATATCTGTATACCCAATCCACACCATCCTATATATGTATACCCCATCTATACCCTCTTATATATGTATACCCCATCCACACCCTCCTATATCTATATACCCCATCCACACCCTCCTATATCTATATACCCCATCCACACCCTCCTATAAAACTTTCATATTTTAAGATCAATCACACTTTAGCCTTGAAAAAGAATCAAATTGACCAAACATATCTTATACATCATTTTAGTGATTCATTACTTTATAGTTGAACACTGGGTATATACTATGAAATATTACCTGATGTGTTGTAACCAAGGGACTGGCACCTCCTTGTTCTACTAGACATCTTGTGATCTGTAGATATCCCCTCTCAGCAGCCCAATGTAAAGCTGTTTCTCCATATCTCTATAATATAACCAAATAACATGTAAATATTATGGACAATACTTTGTTATCAATATCAATAATATACAACATATCCTACAACTGACATTAAAACTTGTCTGATAAACTGGACAATGTTGTGTAATAAATATAAACAAAATATATATCACATGAATCAGTGGTCAAAACTGAATAAAATGACCAGTCACACTTGTATTTATATTCTATATAAACAATAAATAAACATGTTTTGTTGTGAAATGTCAAAACTTCCATTAAACCTGATATCTTAAAAAAAAATTTTTTTTCAAGAAATGTGTAAAATAATTATATCAATGGATTCAGTAGAACAAAACAAGCAAAATGAGACCCCACTTTATATGATTCTTACACATATTTGTTCATTAAAACTGTCTAATTAACATCAGGATTTAGGGTAGATTTAGTATTATCATTCATTTTAATAAAATAATTTTTTTAAAGAAACATGAAAAGGAAAAATATTTTCTGATTCAGAACAATATTATGAGTAAAATGAGACCCCACTTGATATAATTATTACAAATATTTGTTCATTAAACCTGTCTGATTAACAACATGATTTTGTGTTGATTAATAGTAATGTGATCAGACTAAGTAGATAACATACATCTGTGGTGTCGATCTTACATCCTGTATCAATGAGAAGCCTACAGACCTCCAGGTGTCCTCTGTAGGCAGCAAACATTAATGCTGTCCATCCACTACCCTGGAATAATACAACTGACATCAAAACTTGTCTGATAAACTGGACAATGTTGTGTAATAAATATAAATAAAATATATATCACATGAATCAGTGGTCAAAACTCAATACAATGACCAGTCACACTTGTATTTATATTGTATATAAACAATAAATAAACATGTTTTGTTGTGAAATGTCAAAACTTCCATTAAACCTGATATCTTAAAAAAAAATTTTTTTCAAGAAATGTGTAAAATAATTATATCAATGGATTCAGTAGAACAAAACAAGTAAAATGAGACCCCACTTTATATGATTCTTACAGATATTTGTTCATTAAAACTGTCTAATTAACAACATGATTTAGTGTAGATTCAGTATAATCATTCATTTTAATAAAATATTTTTTTTAAAGAAACATAAAAGGAGTAATATTTTCTGATTCAGAACAATAATATGAGTAAAATGAGACCCCACTTGATATAATTATTACAAATATTTGTTCATTAAACCTGTCTGATTAACAACATGATTTTGTGTTGATTAATAGTAATGTGATCAGACTAAGTAGATAACATACATCTGTGGTGTTGATCTTACATCCTGTATCAATGAGAAGTCTACAGACCTCCAGCTGTCCTTCACTGGCAGCCCACATTAATGCTGTCCATCCATCCTCCTGGAATAATACAACTGACATCAAAACTTGTCTGATAAACTGGACAATGTTGTGTAATAAATATAAACAAAATATATATCACATGAATCAGTGGTCAAAACGCAATACAATGACCAGTCACACTTGTATTTATATTGTATATAAACAATAAATAAACATGTTTTGTTGTGAAATGTCAAAACTTCCATTAAACCTGATATCTTAAAAAAAAATTTTTTTCAAGAAATGTGTAAAATAATTATATCAATGGATTCAGTAGAACAAAACAAACAAAATGAGACCCCACTTTATATGATTCTAACAAATATTTGTTCATTAAATCTGTCTAATTAACATCAGGATTTAGTGTAGATTCAGTATGATCATTCATTTTAATAAAATAATTTTTTTAAAGAAACATGAAAAGAAGTTATATTTTCTGATTCAGAACAATAATACGAGTAAAATGAGAACCCACTTGATATAATTATTACAAATATTTGTTCATTAAACCTGTCTAATTAACAACATGATTTTGTGTTGATTAATAGTAATGTGATCAGACTAAGTAGACAACATACTGTTGATGTGGTGTCGATCTTACATCCTGTATCAATGAGAAGTCTACAGACCTCCAGCTGTCCTCCCCAGGCAGCCCTCATTAATGCTGTCAATCCACTACCCTGGAATAATACAACTGACATCAAAACTTGTCTGATAAACTGGACAATGTTGTGTAATAAATATAAACAAAATATATATCACATGAATCAGTGGTCAAAACTGAATAAAATGACCAGTCACACTTGTATTTATATTGTATATAAACAACAAATAAACAAAATGTTTTTGTGAGATGTCAGAACTTTCATCAAAACTGTCATGTAGAAAATTTTTTTTTTTTGAAGAAATCAATAAAATATTTATATCAATGGATTCATTACAACTTTCTGAGTAAAATGACATCTGACTTTATATAATCCTAACAAGTATTTGTTGATATAATGATTAAATCTGTCTGATTAACATGATTCAGAATAATGATCAATTTTTTAAAAAGTAACTTTTTCAAAGAAATATGAAAAAAAGTTACATTTCCTGATTTAGTACGAGGAGACAAACAAAATGAGACCCCACTTTATATAATTCTGACAAATATTTGTTGTCCATTAAACCTGTCTAATTAACAATATAATTTTCAATAAGATGAAGGAATGTGATCAGAGAGTGAAGAGATAACATACTTGTTTTTTTCGTTCATTTATTTGTACATTAATTAGTTCGTTGGTTTTCTCGTTTGAATTGTTTAACATTTGTCATTCAGGGCCTTTTATAGCTGACTATGCGGTATGGGCTTTGCTCATTGTTGAAGGCTGTACGATGAGCTTTGCTCATTGTTGAAGGCCGTACGGTGAGCTATAGTTGTTAATTTCTGTGTCATTTGGTCTGAGGCTAATAGGTCAAAATTTATATGAATCTAATGACTATTTATCCTTTATACAATATGTTTTTTACATTAGATCTGTATTAATATAACTATCTAACTATAGTTTTTATCACACCATCAAGTAAACCGTTGGTGTAAAAAAGGTTTCTTGTTAAGAAACAAACTAAGAACTTTACCAACTATAATTCAAAAAAAAAAAACAACAACTATTTATAAAAAAATACCTTTACACATTTTTTTCACTAAAACTGTCTTATGAAAAACAGATTTTGATTTAATATCAAATCAGTATAATGATATAAATATCAGTTTCCATACAGACCTATTATTTTTTATTAGTGTACTACTTATATACAATCTATCATGTTTTGTAACTTGTAGTTGTGTGTTTTATACTATTTATGTACAATCTGTCGTGTTCTTAAGTAAATTGTAGTTGTGTGTTTTATACTGCTTATGTACAATCTGTTATGTTCTGAAGTAATTTGTAGTTGTGTGTTTTATACTGTTTATGTACAATCTGTTCTGTTCTGAAGTAACTTGTAGTTGTGTGTTTTATACTATTTATGTACAATCTGTTCTGTTCTGAAGTAACTTGTAGTTGTGTGTTTTATACTATTTATGTACAATCTGTTCTGTTCTGAAGTAACTTGTAGTTGTGTGTTTTATACTGCTTATGTACAATCTGTTATGTTCTGAAGTAACTTGTAGTTGTGTGTTTTATACTATTTATGTACAATCTGTTCTGTTCTGAAGTAACTTGTAGTTGTGTGTTTTATACTGCTTATGTACAATCTGTTATGTTCTGAAGTAACATGTAGTTGTGTGTTTTATACTATTTATGTACAATCTGTTCTGTTCTGAAGTAACTTGTAGTTGCATGTTTTATACTGCTTATGTACAATCTGTTATGTTCTGAAGTAACTTGTAGTTGTGTGTTTTATACTATTTATGTACAATCTGTTCTGTTCTGAAGTAACTTGTAGTTGCATGTTTTATACTGCTTATGTAAAATCTGTTACGTTCTAAAGCTACTTGTAGTTGTGTGTTTTATACTATTTATGTACAATCTGACATGTTCTGAAGTAACTTGTAGTTGCCTATTTTATACTGCTTGTGTAAAATCTGTTATGTTCTGAAGTAACTTGTAGTTGTGTGTTTTATACTGCTTATGTACAATCTGTTAGGTGTTAAAGTAACTTGTAGCTGTGTGTTTTATACTGCTTATGTACAATCTGTTCTGTTCTGAAGTAATTTGTAGTTGTGTGTTTTATACTGTTTATTTACAATCTGTTTGTTATGTTCTGAAGTAACTTGTAGTTGTGGGTTTTATACTGCTTATGTACAATCTGTTATGTTTTAAAGTAACTTGTAGATGTGTGTTTTATACTCTTTATGTACAATCTGTTCTGTACTGAAGTAATTTGTAGTTGTGTGTTTTGTACTGCTTATGTACAATCTGTTCTGTTCTGAAGTAACTTGTAGTTGTGTGTTTTATACTATTTATGTACAATCTGTTCTGTTCTGAAGTAATTTGTAGTTGTGTGTTTTATACTGTTTATGTACAATCTGTTCTGTTCTGAAGTAACTTGTAGTTGTGTGTTTTATACTATTTATGTACAATCTGTTCTGTTCTGAAGTAACTCATAGTTGTGTGTTTTATGTTATTTATGTACAATCTGTTATGTTCTAAAGTAACATGTAGTTGTGTGTTTTATACTATTTATGTACAATCTGTTCTGTTTTGAAGTAACTTGTAGTTGTGTGTTTTATACTGCTTATGTACAATCTGTTATGTTTTAAAGTAACTTGTAGTTGTGTGTTTTATACTGCTTATGTACAATCTGTTCTGTTCTGAAGTAACTTGTAGTTGTGTGTTTTATACTATTTATGTACAATCTGCTGTGTTCTGAAGTAACTTGTAGTTGTGTGTTTTATACTGCTTATGTACAATCTGTTATGTTATGAAGTAACTTGTAGTTGTGTGTTTTATACTGTTTATGTACAATCTGTTCTGTTCTGAAGTAACATGTAGTTGTGTGTTTTATACTGCTTATGTACAATCTGTTATGTTCTAAAGTTATTTGTAGTTGTGTGTTTTATACTGCTTATGTACAATCTGCTGTGTTCTGAAGTAACATGTAGTTGTGTGTTTTATACTGCTTATGTACAATCTGTTATGTTCTGAAGTAACATGTAGTTGTGTGTTTTATACTGCTTATGTACAATCTGTTATGTTCTAAAGTAAATTGTAGTTGTATGTTTTATACTGCTTATGTAAAATCTGTTACGTTCTAAAGCTACTTGTAGTTGTGTGTTTTATACTATTTATGTACAATCTGACATGTTCTGAAGTAACTTGTAGTTGCCTATTTTATACTGCTTGTGTAAAATCTGTTATGTTCTGAAGTAACTTGTAGTTGTGTGTTTTATACTGCTTATGTACAATCTGTTATGTGTTAAAGTAACTTGTAGCTGTGTGTTTTATACTGCTTATGTACAATCTGTTCTGTTCTGAAGTAACTTGTAGTTGTGTGTTTTATACTGTTTATTTACAATCTGTTTGTTATGTTCTGAAGTAATTTGTAGTTGTGTGTTTTATACTGCTTATGTACAATCTGTTATGTTTTAAAGTAACTTGTAGCTGAGTGTTTTATACTATTTATGTACAATCTGTTCTGTTCTGAAGTTACTTGTAGTTGTGTGTTTTATACTGCTTATGTACAATCTGTTCTGTTCTGAAGTAACTTGTAGTTGTGTGTTTTATACTATCTATGTACAATCTGTTATGTTCTGAAGTAATTTGTAGTTGTGTGTTTTATACTGTTTATGTACAATCTGTTCTGTTCTGAAGTAACTTGTAGTTGTGTGTTTTATACTATTTATGTACAATCTGTTCTGTTCTGAAGTAACTCATAGTTGTGTGTTTTATGTTATTTATGTACAATCTGTTATGTTCTAAAGTAACATGTAGTTGTGTGTTTTATACTATTTATGTACAATCTGTTCTGTTTTGAAGTAACTTGTAGTTGTGTGTTTTATACTGCTTATGTACAATCTGTTATGTTTTAAAGTAACTTGTAGTTGTGTGTTTTATACTGCTTATGTACAATCTGTTCTGTTCTGAAGTAACTTGTAGTTGTGTGTTTTATACTATTTATGTACAATCTGCTGTGTTCTGAAGTAACTTGTAGTTGTGTGTTTTATACTGCTTATGTACAATCTGTTATGTTATGAAGTAACTTGTAGTTGTGTGTTTTATACTGTTTATGTACAATCTGTTCTGTTCTGAAGTAACATGTAGTTGTGTGTTTTATACTGCTGATGTACAATCTGTTATGTTCTGAAGTTATTTGTAGTTGTGTGTTTTATACTGCTTATGTACAATCTGCTGTGTTCTGAAGTAACATGTAGTTGTGTGTTTTATACTGCTTATGTACAATCTGTTATGTTCTGAAGTAACATGTAGTTGTGTGTTTTATACTGCTTATGTACAATCTGTTATGTTCTAAAGTAAATTGTAGTTATATGTTTTATACTGCTTATGTAAAATCTGTTACGTTCTAAAGCTACTTGTAGTTGTGTGTTTTATACTATTTATGTACAATCTGACATGTTCTGAAGTAACTTGTAGTTGCCTATTTTATACTGCTTGTGTAAAATCTGTTATGTTCTGAAGTAACTTGTAGTTGTGTGTTTTATACTGCTTATGTACAATCTGTTATGTGTTAAAGTAACTTGTAGCTGTGTGTTTTATACTGCTTATTTACAATCTGTTCTGTTCTGAAGTAATTTGTAGTTGTGTGTTTTATACTGTTTATTTACAATCTGTTTGTTATGTTCTGAAGTAATTTGTAGTTGTGTGTTTTATACTGCTTATGTACAATCTGTTATGTTTTAAAGTAACTTGTAGCTGAGTGTTTTATACTATTTATGTACAATCTGTTCTGTTCTGAAGTTACTTGTAGTTGTGTGTTTTATACTGCTTATGTACAATCTGTTCTGTTCTGAAGTAACTTGTAGTTGTGTGTTTTATACTGTTTATGTACAATCTGTTCTGTTCTGAAGTAACTTGTAGTTGTGTGTTTTATACTATTTATGTACAATCTGTTATGTTCTGAAGTAATTTGTAGTTGTGTGTTTTATACTGTTTATGTACAATCTGTTCTATTCTGAAGTAACTTGTAGTTGTGTGTTTTATACTATTTATGTACAATCTGTTCTGTTCTGAAGTAA